TGGCTCTTTGGGTGTAAAAGGTTGCAGACCCCTGGTCTATACAATAAAATTCCCTATGAATATACATCTTAGATTTCCAAGTCATTCCAAATTAAGACAACCAATAACCTATACAGTAAGTTTACAGACTAGTGTGACAGTGTGTGTGTCTTTGTCAAGAGTTGTCTGCCTTTTCCCTGAGCTGCTAAGAAGAGAACAGTGAGAGAAGTGACAGTTCGAGGAGGAAAAAACAAAGCATGGAGGGAAGGACCATATGTTTTGTTTTTGTTTTCTAACTGGGGGGAAAATTAGCAGGGTTAGGAAAAACAAAACCAAAAAAAGATTTAAGAGGAGGTTTATTGCTTGCTAAATGAAAACAGGCATCTGCAAAGCAAATTACAAGCCAAAAGCCAAAAATGATCAGATGAGATAAACTGGGATGGTGCACAGAGACGACTGAAAACGGGAGGGCGAGACATTCAGAGAGATGAACATATCGGGAGATGAGGGATTCTATTTGGTGTGGCAGCGCCTCAAAGTCGATCTTCATCAGCAATCCCATCTTTGTGTGAGCTCTGGCTGAGATGGGCGGGAGAAAAGGAGGAGCTGCAGACCAGAAAGATCAAAGCCGACTAAAATTGAGGATCAAAACCAAACTATTACTCTAGTGTTACAGTAGAATTATGCACGCGCCGCTATTTGCGCGCACAGAAGTAATCGGCCTTTGCTTTGATGGTATTAAATTTCATCCTGGTGCTAAACTGAGGCCAAGGGTCCGGAAGAAAAAGAGGAAGGCTGGTGCACTGAGGGGGGGAGCGATTTGAGGATTGAGGAGGGAAGTTCATTTAAGTTGGCAGAGAATTCGTTTTAAGTGGCCCTTGTGGCTCTTTGGACGGGGATGTCAGAAGAAGTACAACTGCTGGATCGCAAAAAGAGTTGTGAAGACTTGCTGTAACTCTAAATAATCAATTTGGCTTCAACGGTAAAGGCGGATCTAGTCGTTAAAAAGGGATTTATTAATGACGAACTTACGACAGCCTTTCTCGTCACTTTTGTCAAAGCAGTCGGGCAGTCCATTACACTGCCGCCCGCCCGGGACACACTTGCCATCGCCACACATGAAGATTCCGGGGATGTTGCAGTCCGTGGTGAAGTTATTCCCTGGAAGCAGCTGGCTCTCTGTTGATAAACAAGAGAAACAGAGGAGAGGACAGACTATTACGAACTCGCTCTGTAAAGAAATCAAACAGGTGGAGCGATTGCATTACAGCGATACTCATCACCAGAGTCAAAATGGAAATCTGTTATTATCTCCATTGTCTAAAGACAGAAAAATATTAAAGGCAGCGGCTCTATTTAAAAAGCCGTATCAATCTATGAGCAAATAAACAGAGGGAGATCTCATGAATACAAAAGCGGTCTAGGTCATTCGGTGTTAACAGTATTGTGGGCGAAAATCACGATAGGGAAGATAAAGATACAAACATCAAAGAACACTAATATACAAACGGAGCACATATTTCACCCTAGACTTACACAGATGCACCGATACACACGTGCAGAACAAAAATAAGCACACCGTCGGCACAGTAATCGTGTGCCCTGAACCAGTTTGGGGCATTTCTAGTGGACGCAGCGCAGCTGCGGCGTAATGGGCTGGAATGTGAGACACGGCCTTTTGGCTGAGGTTTGACACTATGTGGTGAGCAGTTTAGCTCGCAAACAAAGCTGTGTGGCAGTAATAAGGCGTCTCGGACAGACCGCGGAACACTTTTATGCCGCAGTGCTAAAACGGGTTCAGCTGCTAGGCCGCTTCGTTACACTTGAGGACGAGATGCAAAAAGTGCACCTGCTGTAAAAACGTACGGACCTTTGCACCTTAAATGGCAGTGCGGCTTACCACAACAATGACTGATGGAGTCCTCAGCTTAAATGACTCCAATTGTAAAGTGCAGCGATGTGAAAATGTAATTATTATTTACCGTGCTCTTTCGGTTCTTTTTCTTTTTTAATTTATTTTCATGACTGAACTGAATAACAACAAAAGGAGGGATATATTGGTATATGAATGAACTGCACAGTACTACACAAACTCTTAAGTCCTTCGTTTTTTTCATATTTGTTTTCATGAAGCCAGTAATTTTTTT